TTTTATATTTTATAATATTTATAATTTAATATTATTTATTTATTTTTATATTATTTAAATAAAATAGTTAAATTTAACTTATATTTCATTTTTTTCATTTTATTAATTTACAATTATGCTTTTCAATTCTTAGTTGCAAAAATATTTATTAAATAATTTTGTATTATTTATGAATTTCTTCTTAATATATATTGACTTTATTGATTTCTATTTATATAAATTATTTTTTATATTATAAAAATACTATTTAATACCGATATTAAATTTTTTTAAAATATTTTCTTTTGCATTTAATAATTAAATTTTATTTAATCAATTATAAAATAAAATACTTGGTAATTATTTTCAAAATATTATTTTACTTTTAAATTAAAAATATTTAATGTATATGTATATATATATAAACATTTTTATGTACGTTATCATTAAAATAAATTTCTCTTAACTAAATTAATCTTATATAACTATTTTTATCGATTCATTATTCCATTGAGTAACACGATTAATTTTAAATAAATTTAATCTTTATACTAAGGACTGCTGTATTTACTTAAAAGAATTTATAAGATTTGTCAATGAAATTTACTTCGCTTACAATGATTAGTCCTTGGTTCACCTTTAGAATATTGTGTGAATAATATATATGAAGAAAAAAAAAACAATAGAATCTATATCTCTCTCTAATTACTGTTCGTTGATTTCTTTTTTTTTCTTCTGTTTATCTATATTATTTTTTAAACTATTTTTTTGCACTCTTAACTTCATTGTTTTTAAACTCCATTTATCTCATCTTCAATATTTAAATTAGATACCAATGTAAATATTTATACTTTTAGTTACAAATATTTAAAATTGAGTAATGTTTATTTTCAGTAAAATTTAATATTTAAATTTAAAATTTCAAAAAATATATTTAAAATAAATTTCACATATATTGAACATTATATTAACCGATCCAAATTAAGAATTTGAAATTAAAATTTTTTTAAATTAATTTACCTGAACAAAATATTTTAAAAAAATAAATAAATAACCTAATCCAAAGTATCTCCTAGTTAAAAGTTAAAGACTTATCCCTTGAGATACTAAAATTCATTTAATAAGTTGACCTCTCCGAATATTTTTTTTTTCATACATATCAATAGATATCAAATTCCTAATCACATACTTAAGAGACAAAAATATCTACTAACCATGCAATACCTTGCTGTATAGCACAATGACTATTTAAATAAAATATTTAATTATTAAATAAAAAAAAGTTGGTGTATATTTGAATTAACAATTTTTTTTAAAAAAATATAACCAGATGTTTGTCCAACAATGTTCAATTAGAAGTATTAAATACATACTTATAATTTTATAAAGTATAATACAAACACGTACAACCATTCCAATATGAACTAATAATTTATATTTATTACTCTTATTTTCCATAGTAAAAAAAAAAATTTCTCGTGATATACCCCTTAATTATAGTACAAAAAATTGTATACTAACAACAAAAACATAATGTGTAAATATAAACTTGTAGTTAAATAGGTTGTTCTACTTTTCTTTTTCTGTCTGTAACCATTAAATCAAGATCAATCAACTACCGTAATGAAAGAGTGACACGTTAGCTCATCCTTCAAGCTGTGAATGAGTGAGTATAAACGATTAATTGCAAGTGAAAGGATCATATAATGCAACCATGATCCATAAAAAAATTCTACATTTCAGACACAATATAAAAAACATATATGAATTGATCTTCATTTTTTTTTTCAAAAGTTGAAAAAAACGAAATGTTTTCTCACTTGATTGTGGAGTCAATTTATCATAAATTTGTTAACCTAATAAATATCTAATGTCATTACAACTTCAGGGAATGATAGAAGTCAATTCATAAATTTTTTTTATGTAATGAAAACGAAATCAAATATACGACTCACTTTTAATTTATCCATGTCTCATTTTTTTCTTCTTCCAACTATTAGAAATGTTTTTCAGCGAATTTTATTAAAAAAATATTTGCAGAATTTTTTTGTGAATTTTCTTACAATAATAACTTCACAAATTTTTTTTGTGAATTTATTTGTAAAAAATAATTTATAAAAAAAATTTACAAATTTTTTATAAAAAATAATCTACAAGAAACTTTTGCAAATTTTGCTAAAATTTTAATGATCATAGAAATTTTTTTATGGTAAATATTTGCAGAAAATGTTGTAAGAATTTTATTTTATTTCTTGCAAAATTTGTAAGTAATGTTTACTAAATAATATAAAAAAATTACAGGTAACCTTTCCCGTGAATTTTCCTGCCAATTTTAATCTGTAAGAAAAATAAAAAATAAATAAATTTATAAGTT